TTGTGTGTGTGTGTTTGTGTGTGTGTGTTTGTGTGTGTGTGTGTGTGTGTGGCCTTGATTTTCTTACATCGTGGGGCCCATTTTTAAGGAAAATGCAGCTTCGTGGGGACCGGGTGCTCCTTGGGCCCCACAACTTCGGAGGCTATTTTGGGTGTGGGGGTTGAGTTTAGGACCAAGGTGTGAATTGAGTTTAGGCTAATTTTAGGGTCAGGTAACCTGTGAGGTTAGCCTTAGAGTTTGTGGTCAGGGTTAGGCTGTAGAAATGTAATGGAAGTCAATGGAATGTCCCCTATTGGATAGCTGTGCAAACTTGTGTGTGTGTGTGTGTTTGTGTGTGTGTGTTTGTGTGTGTGTGTGGCATGGATCATCACTCAGAGTGACAAAGTGCTTCCTGATGTAGCAGAGAAGAGCAGCATCTGAGTCCGGCTGCTGTCCAGGGATCACACGGAGCCATCCAACCTCAGAATTCAATTTAGGGAGTGAGCTGAGGTGTGAGCTACCAGGGTGAGACGTGTGTGTGTGTGTGTGGGGGGGGGGGGGGGGTCCCCGACAAAGCAGAGACAAGACTTCCATTAAGAGACGAGACTCTTGCTTACTTGTTTCCAGTTGACCTGAGCTATGAAGCCTCAAAGTATTAAATACCAAAAAAGTGGCTCCACAGAACGTAAATGTGTGTGTGGTGTTTTGTGTTGAAGTCTTCAGTAAAATCCCTAATGCCAAAAAGACAATAAAGCAACAATAAATTAATAATGCATATGCTTTATTTACTTTTTAAACCATATTGTAAAATCACTGCTTCTCACATTGATATCGTGACCATAATCTTCTAAAATGTTTTATTTGAATCAAACATCTAAAACAAATTATTTTTTTTTCATGAGAATTCCCATTTATTGAAAACAAAACAGGGTCATCTTTGTATGTTGAAGCTTCCTTAAATAATGTAATGCAGTGAGCATCATACAAACAGTAGCACAAGAGGTTACAGCTGAGCGTTGAGAGTAAAGAATGATACTCACAACATTAACCGCAGCGTCATTCTGAAATGTTCCTTGTGTGTTTGTTTTGGAGGAAAAAACTGACATATTGTGACTGACAGTGTTCTAAAAACAAAAGAGGACACGCAGTATTTGAAGTTTAAATATCAATATCTGCACGCACACATAAGCCGCTTGCAACAGAAAGCTTTTCAGCTTCTGTATAATTATACAGTAATGTCCTGACAACAAATACTACAAGCTGCATTAAATAAGACATTTGTAGAAAAAAAATACCCTGTATTTATCCATGAGAAACACAATTCTTCAGTCATTATTTCACATTTCTGCTGTTTAGAACAACTTTCCAGTATTTTACCTCTAGTGGACCTTAAAAGGACTTTATGAGGTATTAATCAGTGAGTGGCTGTAATGTGTCAGTAAACAACAAAAAAAAGACATGCTAGTAAAATCCGACATAATGTAGGATGTTAGACTTTCGAATTTGCAAACAAAAAATTAAAATAATACATAAATAATAACAGACTTATTCAGTATATAAAGACCACTTTCACTGACCAGCAGTTCACACGTTTCATCATACAGAATAAAGCATTTATATACAGTATTATCTGTACACTTTATGTAACAGTACAACCATACCTTACCTGAAACTCCTCAGGTTTTATATCACTGCAGTAACAACTAGAAGGCATAGTCTTTTACACATGCAAGCCTGCACACACACACACACACACACACACACTCGCAACCAACTCAAACATAACGTACGCGTAACTAGCGACTGTTCAAGTAAACATCTACAGCGCAGCTCAGTTAGCTTATAATGAGCATGCGTGTGACGGGTGGTAGCAGGTTTTGTTTTTTTTCACAGTACGAGGAGCTCAAACTGCCTCCCATCGACCTCCTTCCCATCAGAACGCATCTGGAGTTCACAGAGTGATGAGTCGTCCAGGAAGGTTTGTGCCGCCGATCCAGATAAGATCAGGAACTCGGCTGATTGGCCTTCAGTGCYTCTTCCTGTTTCCACAAGAAGAGTTTCATCAGCATTTCATTGTGATGTCACTGCTTTTATGGCATCGATAATATTTTCATGTTAAAAGCAGGCATACCTTTTATTTTCAAATACATCAATAAAAATTGCTGTTCAGTTAAAAAAAAAACTGTTCAGCTGTTTTGTCCAACTGAGAAAGCGGACAAAAATGTGTTATTTCCAATTATTATTTTGACAGGAACTCTTTTTTTTTGTGTAAATTTGTCTCAGTAACAGCTATTCTAGCTCCTGAAGCTATAATAAATTGTGCCATTTATAAGTTTATCTTTAGTCCCTGCAAATTATTGCTGCTTTTGAGTCACTTTTAAAAACACATTTTCAAGTTTTGCACAAAAGTCTAAAAAAAAAGGCAAGGTCACGTACAGCATTACTGCAAGAGCCACACGAGGTTTTGCTATTATTATTTTATATAAGTAATGTCTTCATATAAAAATATTAAACAGCAAAGAAAAAGATACATACTCATTAAAAACCTTAAATGGTTGTTTGTGAATGAGGATGAAAACAACTTATGATTAACTGTCAAATATCTTTATTACTAAAAATGGTCAAATGTCGTCCCAGAAGCACAACAACGAGGCACAACTCTGGCACTTTTTCTTGAGTATGAACCAGGCATTAAACATAAGAAGAGCAGCAGAGTGACGGGACGATGACAGAAGTGTAAGATTACTGTTTGTGTTGGAGAAAAACTTCAGAAGGATCGCTGGTTTGGGCAAACAGATGTTAAACTTTGCATTCTTCCCTGTTTCTGCTTGTCCTCTCAGCCGACTGTAAATTACCTGCTGAGATGTGGTCCGTATGTGTCCAACATGACCGAGCTGGCCTGCTCCAGGTTCCACTGGTGGCTCTGCAGTAGCTCCTCACACTCTGCTCGCGAACGCAGCCCCAAGCGAAACAGCTGCTCCACCTGTAATGCAGACGGTGGCGGTGGGACGTGTGTGWGAGAGAGGGGAGTATTTAAAGCTGCTGCTCACTTTGAAACTCTCTTTCATGCTGCACTACAAAACTAAAATGCATCGAACACTGGGAGAAAACGTGTTTCACCTCATGGGGGTATTTGCTTTTTTAAATAAATAAATAAAAAATAAGATGTGTTACCTTTAAGTAATTAACAGCCTGAGGGATGCTCCAGTTGTGACTCTGCAGAGCAGACTTACACTCCTCTGTTGTGACACCGTGCACCACTCCTTGGACCTGCCAGCATCAGCAAGAAATAACTGGGTTAACAGAAGCATGTTGGAACTCACTGTTTGCTTTTCCATAAAATGACAATTTCCATTTGAAATAGTGTACCTAATAGAGCAGCGACAACAAATAAAGTAAAAAAAAATCAAATTTATTTTTTTTGATAAATAGTGAAAAAAGCAGGTTCTCCTGTCAGTTTAAAACATATCATTTGCTCAATAAATCAAGCTTAACACATTTTGAATTAACCAAAAGCCCTTTGAGATTTTTCTCKWT